GGTTGAAGATTAAAAATCATCGATTTATTTTCCTTCAGTAATCTTAAAATATTAAAAATACTTATTCAAGCATTATAGAATAAGTACCTGAATATTAATATTATTTGATAACAATTATAACTAAAAATACTATACAAAAATGAATAGAAATTATATTGGGTGGTGGTAGATGAAATACCTGAATTATTTTCATCAAAGCAATTAAGGAACCATCGTTTGAAGATAAAATTACATAGGAATTAAAAATTGACAATGTAAAAAATTAAAATTCAAAAATAATTAAAATCTTAAGAATAAAACATAAATTAAAATAACATATATATTGGATGGTGTTAGATTAATTACTTGATATATCTTTTGGAGATCTAAGTAATAATTTGGAGTAGGAATTAAAAAGCGATAGTCTAAAAACTAAAAAATTTGAAAATAATTAAAATAATAAAAGATAAATTAAAATAACATAAATATTGGATGGTGCTATATTAATTACTTGATGTATGTATCAGACATCGGAATAATAATTCCGAGTTCTTGAAAAAACTTGAAATGAGAAAACCAAAATGTAAAAAAATTTAAGACGGGAAAAGTGACTGGAAAAATAAAATGGAATTTCATGATTAATAGATTGTTTGGTTTTTTTAAGGAAACTAAAAAGTATATATTTTTCCCCTATATTGAAAAGAAATGCCTAAATGGGGGGATTTGATTTGATTAGTGAGTTGAATTAGTTATTAAAGATATTGTCAATGATTTTTAATTTGATAAGTGATTGATTTTTTCTATATATAAATATATTTATTTGAATAAATGGTTGGGATATAATAGTAATTTAAATGGATGGATTAGATGATATGACATGTGTCGAAAAAGTTAGAGTATGATGAAGATGATGTGTCATCTTCTGGTGAGTTTTTAAACATTTTGGTTTTTGCTTTAGTGTATACCCTAGTAAATGATGGTGGATGCTATTAATACTTTCCTAGTTTAACTCATGTTGAATTAATTTTCTTTGTCCACTAAAATGTGATTTCAGCAGGGACCTTTGTATGAAGGAATCTTTGAATTTAATTGGGCTTCTTCGCTCTCTTAAAAATCCTAATTTAATAATCATCACATCATATCATATCATATCATACTCCTCATAAAAGAGTGTTTTTCTATGTTCAATTTTATCCTTAATCATTTTAGATATTACATTCTAATTTTATCCTAATATATTTAAATAATTTAAAGGTAAAATCTTCAACCAAATTTTGATATTAAAAGACATCAAATAGTCAAATTAATTTTCTATCCTATTAAAAGATCATATGTATCCATCTAATTTTATCTTTCTAATAATTCTCATTAAATTAAAACTATTAATATTTATCACTAGAAATTCTTACTCATAAAAAAGTAGAAAATTCTGATAATCAATTTTTTGTTAATTCTAAACAAGTTCTAACTATCCATAACTAGAAAAATATAAGAAATTTTCATTGCCCCTTAATTGTTTTAAAAAGTAAATTTCAATGAACCTTTTAGAACTTTAAATTAAGCACAACTTCTAAAAATTCTGCAATTCTTATCAAATCCTTCGTAAGTTAGATAATTTTAAAAAGCAACCAAAATATTTTGAATTTTCGTACTTAAGTTCAAAAAAGGTGTTACCCTAAAATTTCACATTGGCTAAAACTGATCCTTAAGGATAGTATACACCCCTCGAATCAATCTTATTTGCCAGTTAACACATAAATTGATAAGCGGCCAAAAAAAGAAAAAATTACAAATAGCTACTAAAATTCTAAAATTACAAATAATACTCAAAAAATTTGAAAGCTTCAAAAAAACGTATAGGCCCCTAAAATTTTAAAATCCCTTAAATTCTTAATGTTGAAAAAAAAACTTTTAAAATCCAAAAAAATTTAAATTACAAACATCCCCCATAAACATCCTGAAAATAATAAATTGATATTTTAAGTTAAAAAACTACAAAGACCCCAAAACGGATTATAAAAACCTAAAGAATTATAAAAAGTATAATTAACATCAAGAAAAAATTTAAATTAGAGAATTACAAAGAACCATCAAGAAAATTACTAAAAAACTAAAAATATAAAAAGTAAAAATAACCCTAAAAATCTATAATTAGAAGCAAATCTCCTAAATGTCTAAAAATTATAATTAACATCTTGAAAATTACAATAATTATGAAAAACCTCTGAAAAAATCTTAAATTTGTAAACATCCAATGTTTGGGTTTTTTTTGCCAAAAACTATTTTAGGTTAAGTGAGAAAATATAAAATTATAGGGTTAATAGGGTAACATGTTAGCTTTCATGGCGTAGAATGAGAAGAGTTCATGGTGATTTCATAAATTTTCAAACATGAGGGGAAATATCTGTATTAAGTTCAAATTTGAGGGGGGTTCTCAAAGTAAAATAGTTGAAGGGGGTTTCATAGAGAATCTTTATATCTGAGGGGAGTTAAGTGAGGAAAGTCCAAGCGGTATTAAAATAGTTGAGGTTTTTTTTATAAAATTAATCCATTATTTTTTAGATATAATATTATAAAATCCCATTAAGTAGTTATCATAAGAAACCCCATTTAACTTCTATATCTTATAAAAAAAACTCAGCTTTGAGATTTTATTAGAAAATTCTCCTAAAATTATCCCTTTTGGAGTGCTTTCCTCATAAAAATCTCAAAATTAAAGGGGTTTTCTGATAACCCCAAAAAGTTTGTAATTTTTTTATATTTTTAAAATTATGTGGGATTATTTGATTGTCATCCAAAGTAAACGGGGTTTTTTTATTGATATTTAGCGTTAAAAATATCTTATTTTATTCGTATAGTTATTTGTACTAAACATGAGATATATCGTTTGCTTAGTAATTTACTATATCAATTAGGAAAAGTACAATAATATTTTACTATAAGCAACCAATTCAATGGAAACGTTTTTTTAAAATTTTTTTTATGAGTGAAAAAGGTAGTTTGAAAAAGTGAAAACTTGGATTTTTAGGCTTTTAAAATGTTCAATATATATGTTTAGTAAAAGGAATTAAGTATCTAAAATTATTCAAATAAGGGCTCTTAATTTAAAACTAAATTGTAATTTAATACATTTCATTTTAAATATTATATATTTCTAATATTATTCTTTATAGACACGTGCGAAAAGTGATGTAAATTAGTTTTAGCCACATTTAAGTTGATGTTTTGATCATAAGATGTTCAATATATATCATTTTAAAATTTTTAGGATCATCACCAATTGCGAACCTTTGAGATGTTCAATAAATATGTTAATTAAAAATAGTTATGTGAGTAAACATACTAAAATATGTGTTGTTAAGGTTTTTTTATACTTTATTATGAGATATTCAATATGTATCATTTCAAAAGATTTATGGTCTTCACCACTTGCAATTAATTTGACAGACTTGAATTAGGATAACTACATCTCATCAGAGTAACACTAGTCATTAGGTACTAAGAGGTAGAGATGAGTTCTGATAGAAGGTGTAACTGAGACAGTTAAGCTAAAAAAGTTATGAATTGCAAGGGTAACTGAATGAAATGGTGAAGGATCTTCAAATAAATAGGAATCTCATGCTAATTAAAAAATTAACATAATTTAAAGACATGAGCAAATCTCCAATTACTGGAAATAGTCAAAGTTAGTTAAAAAGCAATTTTATGTCTCAAAAAATAACAAGTTACTCTACCAATAAATACATACATACTAGCATAAAATATGTTAATTAGTTATTTCATAGCTTGCTTTGACAGTCCACAACATAAACATATAGAATATAATAATATTACATTGTAAAAATTCTCATAGTTAATATCCATGGTTATAGGTATATGATCTTTTCTTAGGAGCCTATTAGTCTCATAAGATATAATATTAAAGTGAAAATTAATTATGAAAATTGTAAAGGGTGTAAAATATTGTGAATTCATGCAAATTATAAGATGAAAACATAGAATTGCGATGAGGATGAAATTGTTTGCATAAAAGTTATTTTTTAATAAAAGGATTTTGACCTTCATGTACTGTTTATTATAAACCGTACTTAATGTGAATTGATTGTGTAATTTTGACTTTGGTTATGGTAATTTTAATACTATTGATTAACTATATAGTATATAGAGAATAAATTATTTTATTTTTTCATGTGAAATTAAAAGAAATATTCACAACCAAGTTAAATAACAAAATAGAAAAATAGATAATGATATTTAACCACGTGCAATGCACGTGCATCTAATCTAATAAGAATAAGTATGCTCACGGTTATTTACAAAGATAAATCAGGTTCTGTCATGTCATAAACTAGGGGCCACGTGACCAAGGAGAAAATATTGGCTTTTTTCCTTTTTCCTTTTGTGTAAATAAACGTGAATATGATTATTTTTCCATAATCAATTTTTTGAAAATTTGAATTATTTTAAATTGTCCTTTAAAAATTAATGCTTTTGTTTATTAATAATATCCTCAATTAATAGATAAGGTTATTTACTTCCTACTTGCAACTTTATTTTTTAATGGATATTATTCAACTCTAATAAGATACTTGTAGTTGCAGTTTCATTCAAAATAATTTCATATTTTATTTTGAAGAAAATAAACCAATTTTTAATGAAGTTTATACTTCCAGGATTCCTAACTCGGCTAACCACCAAGCACTTGCAACGCCAAAAAAAGCAAACCATAATTATATTTATTTACCAAAAAGAGATCACGTTGGCTATGCCATCAAAATTTGGTTTTATATGTGCATATATTTAAATATAATATATTTATGAATAAATCTGAAATCTGTACATTTGGGGAAAAAATGAACAATTTAATATTTAGATATAATTTGTTCTCTCGTACCAGTTTAATATTTCCCTGGCCGTCGTAAAAACCTAGCTTAATTACGGGCCCATAGAAGAACGATAAAAAGCCCAAAACCTCACTTTTCTCAAAACAAAAAGGCCAATATGGTAATCTCACTCCCACTGTCTCCATATATAATCGCCCCGTGGCCTTCTTCTCCAAAACCCTAATCAAGCCTTTCTCGAGCTCTAGGCGCTGCAAATGGTACTCCTTACACTTTTTTTTTGTCCTCATTTTATTTATTTTGTTGGGATCTATGGTTTAACTCTGTGTTCTTTTCTCTAATCTCTACAGGCTCCCAAAAAAATCGTGAAGCCAGGCGCCCAATCGAAGAAGAAACCGGTAAGAGGTCATTCTGCTCAAAGGTTTTTGTCTAATTTTGTAGGGTTTTTGGAAAGGAGTTTGATCAAATACTGTAATTTGATGTTTAGGAGAAGGTTGTGAACCCTTTATTTGAGAAGAGGCCGAAGCAATTTGGGATCGGGGGAGCTTTGCCGCCAAAAAGGGATCTTCATCGGTTTGTGAAATGGCCGAAGGTGGTCAGGATTCAGAGGCAGAGGAGGATACTTAAGCAGAGGTTGAAGGTTCCTCCTGCTTTGAATCAGTTCACCAAGACCCTTGAGAAGAATCTTGGTAATTGATTTATCTGCTAATTTAATTTGATGTGCTTCTGTTCATTGATTAGTATCATGCTAATTGGGTTTTAACCCATGTCTCATGTATCTGTATGTTAGTAGAAAATTATGTATATAAGCTTAATATTGGCACATTGGCAGCATTTACACCCTCTACTGCAAATTGTTATTGCGCTCTGTATCTTCATTTGAGCTCACTTTAGATCCTTAACTTATTATTTTGGGCTTCTATCCGCTACTCAGGGTATTTGATTTCTTTTAGCCTATTGCTGATAAGCTAGAAAAAAGTAATTTGTACTTCAGATCCCTATGTTGTAGTTTAGATTAATTCTTCTTCTTTTTATGCAGGCGAGTATGCGGAATCGACTCATTTCCGCTTGGAAATGGGCTGATTCGGTCAATTATGTGGACAGCCGCATAATTGAGCGAAAACCGCATGCTCGCATAAAAAGAATATGTGGGCGTTTTTTAAGATGGGTATTAACGGGTTTCAGGTCCAAAAAATGAACCCGCAAATGTTTTAAACCCAAAAAATGACCTGAATGCTTATCCCTAAGTCCCGATTCCTTCTACAGCCTAGCATCACTGTCTCTGAAAAAGAAAAGAAACCCTAAATGCCTCTCCATCTTCACTGTCGATTATCCTCTTCACACCGGATCTCCGCGGATCTCTTCTTCACTGCCGGATTCCCTCTTCCACCGCCGACAAGATCTCATCTTCCAATCATCTCCATCTTCTTCCGGATCACCTTTTCACTGCATTTTCCTTGTAGTATTCACCATATTCTGTGGACTTCTCCTTTGAAGGTTAGAAATTCAAAGTTGATGCTTTTGGTCATTATAAAAGGTTCAAATGGAGGTGGAGGGAAGAAACATTAAGAAAGTTATTTCATTTTTGTTCGGCGTCTCATATAGAAAGCTTAAACAATCATCCATTTGCATTCATGAATCTTTGAACTTATGGTAAAGCTTGTAGACTATATGCTTATACTTTAAAAATACCAGTTTCATCAAGGAGGCTGCTATTTGCATTAAACTATTATTAGATACATCATTTCAACCCAATTGAGCTAATTCAGTCCCGAATTTACTTATTTTAAATCAACACCATCATCAGCTTTAACTTTTTATTTGTCGATGCAAGGACTCAATGCTCATCCACTCCTAGAATCAATGTGTTCCCCATTCACCTAGCTACCTTATGCTTGATGAAAGTTAAAAGGGGGAGCATATCATGTTGTCTCTTGATCCATTTTTGTTATACTAAGTGTGAATAATTAGACTCGGAGCTCTATAAATTATGATACCAGTTTTTGACATTCATTTTTGTGAATAACTATATTTTAAAAATTAAAAAATGCATAATTCTGTGTAATCCGATTAATCGGTGCATAATCTGATTAATCGTGACTCGCTCTTGAACCGCACGGGTAATAAAATCGCGTTTTTGAACATTGGTAATCAGAGAGAATCCAAAAGGGGTTTAGAAATAGATGCAAATCTATATTTGCTTTATACTAAAATAATAAACTTTGATTGCTAGATTTTGCCACTTGATAAATTCTTAGTAACTTTTATGTAATTAATATGTAAGCCTCGAAAGCCGAAATGTACTTACTAGCTGGATAGAAGTTGGAAATTTTGAAACTCTTAAGAACTTTTCCAGGCTCCTAAAACTTGCATTCATTTGATTGTTTTAGTATATAGTATAGAAAGGTTCTTGTTCAAGAAAATTATTCCATGATTTATATTATATAGTTTATGGAGGATTTAGACCAAGAGTGGGAGGATGATAGAGATGATCCTTAATAATAGACGATGAGAAGTGGGAGGTCCTAGTGGAATTGGAGAGGATTTGAAAGGGGTTTAAAAATAGAATAATGCTAACTACACTATTCTTTGCTGAACTACTTTCACACTACAAGAAAGAAAAATGTGGCTCCTTTGGTGAGTCATCGATTTTGAAGAAAGCTCAAGGGAATTGCCCCACACTTTTCTCTCTTGTAGTGTGGAAGTAGTTTTGGAAGAGTAACTTAGAAAATTATATACTAAAACAATGTTATTAGTTGTAAGGTATTGTCTCTTGGAAAATTCTTAGAGCTTCAGTTTTTTTACTTCTATGCAAATTGATAAACATTGGACCTTTGCCTAATAAACTTTCATATAATAGAACAAAATGGAAAGGGGGGATGCTAGAGAGAATCTTACTTAATGAAAATTAGTGATAGAGAGGTATTCTTAAGGGCTTTGAATAGATGAAGTGTTAATTATATAGAAGTTTAATAGGCAGAGCTGTAAAAAAGTTAAACTTGCTTGCCTAATAAACTTTCATGGAATAGAAGAAAATGGAAAGAGGGATGTTAAAGAGAATCTTAATTTATATCTATATCTATACTACTATAAAAAGAGGATTGGGGTGCTAAAACTTTTAATTTCCTTTTTCACCCTCTCTAGTTTTGATAAATTCTAACTATGCAATTCTCTCTAATTAATCTATCATTAAATAAATATAACCTCTTATTAATTATGAACCTCCTCAACTTTCTGAATAATTATAATTATCAATAACATTATAACTATTAATTGTTGAAAACTAATATAATAAAATAATATTAAATAAGTATACACAATTATTAGTAGTAACCAATTAAATTATTATAATAATCATTTATGAATTACAATTAAATAATTAACATAATAGTATAAATAGAATAATATATTACTAAATACTATAAAGAGTTATACTATAATTCAATGATTAATAAAATAAATAGAATAAATATTTAATCGCATAAATAGTGTAATTATTTTAGCATATCATAGAAATTATGAATTACACTACTAATTTAGTATTAAATTATTACATAAATTGAATAAATAATTTAATATTATTTTTCAAGCATTTTTCTCAAAGATAATTACATGATATTGAACAATCTATATTTAGTAATGATTGAAAACTAACCTTTCAAAAAATTATTTAATATTAATAATAGTACTATTAATTATTAGTGATAGTATAATAAAAATTTATAAAAATATTTGTAATACTAAATGATTTAAGTGCATAATTAAGAAAATTAAATTAGATAAATATTTTATAGTATAAAAATAGTATACTTATTTTACTAATATTACTTGAAATAAGAATTATAATATTAAATTAGGTAAATTATAGTAAACCCCATGAACTTTCAGCATTTTGTAGTAAATAGACCCTATGAACTTTCAAAATCACACTAAACCCCTAATAGCTTTTGTAAAAAGCTCCTAATATCTTTTAGAGAAATTACACCAAACCTTCAACAACTTTCAAATTGTCTTTTTATGCCATTTTTTGTTCTAATTCAAAGGGTTTATTTACAAATTTTAGAAAGTTATTATTGGTTTTATTTACAAATTTTAGAAAGTTATTGTGGGTTTTCTTTGAAACGGAAGTTATTATTGGTTTAGTGTGATTGTGAAGGTTCATAGGGGCTAAAAGTTTGTAAGGGCTTAGTATAATTTATACTGCTAAATAATTTTAATGAGAAGTACTGCAATATGTTGAAGGTATTGTGTAATATATAGGAAACATCAGGAAAAAAGCTAGTAAGATTAATGCAACATAGTTAATTCAGAATTAAGTTAACAAAATTTAAGTTGGAGGGGCGTATTTAAGAGAACTTATAAAATTGGTATTATATAAGAATAATATTAGATTTGGGGGACAATAAAAAAAGGTTAGCACTGAGCGAATCATTATAAGAAAAAATCAATTACAATAACTACACAATAATAACAATTTAAATTATTCAATAAAAAAATTTAAAATTTAAAACATGTACGTTCTCGTGCAAAACACGTGCATTATACTAGTTAATGAAAATGAGTGATACAGAGGTATTCTTAAGGGCTTAGAATAGATGGAGGGTTAATTATATGGAAGTTTAATAGGCAGAGCTGTAAAAGGTTAAAGCTTGCTCAAGTGTGTAGAAGTTGAGAAACTCTAAAAAATTTGTCTAAGTGATAAAAATTTGCAACCAAGATTATTGTTTTAGTATATAGTATAGTATAGATTTTTGTTTAAGAGGGTTGTTTCTGGAGGGTTTAAACAAAATGGAGGGAGTTATAGAAAGGATCGTAATTAGTGACAGAGGATGGGAGGTGCTGTTGGAATAGGAGAGGATACGAAAGGGTATAGAAACAAATGGAGATCTATTCTTCTTATATACTATAACAATAGTCTTGGTTTCATGTTTTTGCCACTTTGACAAATTCTTAGAGTTTAATTTTTTTTAACATCAACTTTGCAAAGCATCAACTTATTCTTAGCCTGTTAAACTTTAATATAATTGAACGAAATGGGGACGGGATGAAAAAATAAGTTCAATTAATAGAAACTAATGATAGAGAGGATAGGTGGTGCCTGTGGAATTAGAAAGGATTCCTAAGCAGCTTAGAACAAGTGGACGTTAATTACATGGAAGCTTAATAGGCAGAGCTTTGAAATGTTAAATCTTGCCTATTAATTGTATAGATGTTGAAAAACTTTAATAGCTTTTCAAGTGTAAGATTTGCAATCAAGGTTACTAGTGTGAACACCGTGCAAAGCACGTCATACTTTTTCTGCTACAGTAATCCCAGTTAACTGCTACAGGGTCTTTGAATTTTTTGAATTGCTACCATATCTCGTTTTTGCTACAGTATTCCAGTATTCCAGTGTGCTACAGTATTTTAAAAATCCAATGTCATGTTTGCTACAGTTAATGCTAATGTATCATTTACTGTAGTATGAATAGTAAATCATGGGTTCTCCCATTTGTATAGATGAATAGATAGTTTTAGTGTTAAAATATAAGTTATTGTTTTGAGGTATAGTATATAGTATAAATTTTTGTTTTAGTGTAAACTAGATGGAGGGTTTAGAACAAAATGGAGAAGGGAAGACGAGAGGGTCCTAATTAATGATAGGGAGGATGTGGCTACCGGTGGATAGTATATCTACTCTGCAGTATTATTACTGTAGCAACATGAAACCGGGCATTGGGTTTTTGAAAAAAATAGTACTGTAGCACACGGGATATTGTAACAGAGGCGAGATACTGTAGCAATCCAAAAATTGAAAACTATTATAGCAGTCAAAACGGGTATTACTGTAGCGGGGAAAAAATATGCCGTGCTTTGCGCGGTGTTCGCATTAGTATAGATGGAAATTTGAAACTCTTAAGAATTTGCCCATGGGCAAAAAGTTGCTACCAAGGTTAATTGTTTTATTATAGAGTCCCACTAGAGGCACACCATGAACCACACTCTCAACCACACCCCTACACTCTATAGTGCTAGTGGGTCATGCATGATATTTTTTTAAAAATATCATGCATGGTTCACTAACACTATAGAGAGTGTAGGGGTGTGGTTGAAAGTGTGGTTCATGGTGTGTCTCTAGCATTATTTTTTATTATATAGTATATATAGATAGATTCTTGTTTGAGAAATTTGTTGCTCTTGTTGGGTGTAGGATTTAGCCTTATCGGATGTTAATCTAAAATTATTTTTTTTTCCAAAAACAAGTGGTATTCATTATTCTCCTTTTTCTTAAAAAATACTTTGCATCTACAGTTCGTCACTTTCCAATTAAAGCTGATCTAATTTGCTCTCTGTCTTTAACTTGTTTGCTTTTCTGCCTGTTTGTTTGTCATGTTTGTATATATTATGGGTATATATTATTGGTCATGCTCATTTTATTATTTGTTAAAAGGTTTTTGAGTTAAGTTAAATCAATATATGCTTTTTCATCTTTTTTGCAGCCACAAGTCTGTTCAAGATGCTTCTAAAATACAGGCCCGAGGACAAAGCAGCAAAGAAAGAGCGGCTTTTGAAGAGGGCGCAGGCTGAGGCTGAAGGCAAAACTGTTGAGGCTAAGAAGCCCATAGTTGTTAAGTATGGGCTTAATCATGTTACTTACCTAATTGAACAGGTTTTGATCTCTTTGTCTCTTTTTAATCTCATTCCTCAATCTTCTATGTAACTAGATCGTGTCTGATAATTTTGATAACTGGACCTGGTCGGTCAAAATTAAATGTGTTAGGTTCTGAGTCCTGAACTAGTAAAAAATGATACAAGTACATCAGATCTGTGGATCATATGGACTTGTTTATGAGTTCTGAATAATTAGATATGTGCACAATATTGATTATGTTTTATGATTTATTTGTTATTACTAAGTAGATGTAAATGCCTTCATTTGGAATAAATCGTCAAACTACAGCATAACTAACAGTAGAGGGTAATAGTTATTTTTTTACTGGGCAACACTGTTTACTAAAGAACAATCTGTTAATTGGTTTTAGCTATCTTCGTATTTTTATTTTATCTCCTTGTTTAATAGGATGGATAAAGTGTCCATGAGCTATTTTTTTTGGGATGGGGGGTGGGATGGTTAAACCAAGATTTTTTAGGTTTGGTTTTGTGCTGCATGGAACCATATAAGGAAAATTGCTTTATTAGTAGCTGACTTCAATATGTGACAGTCTGGGTTTGATTTAAGTTTTTCCTTTAAACAATCATCAACGCCATAAGCTGGTTTGTTCACTTATCTTTTTTCCTTTCTCTTTTTGTTTTGGCAGAACAAGGCTCAGCTAGTGGTTATTGCTCATGATGTTGATCCAATTGAACTAGTTGTTTGGCTTCCTGCTTTATGCAGAAAGATGGAAATCCCTTACTGCATTGTCAAAGGAAAAGCACGTCTGGGATCAGTATGTTTCTTCTGCTATCTATTTGGGTTAATTGCATATAGATTCCCTGTAGTATCACTGTTTTCAACTTGCTACCCTGGTGGTTTCGTTGTTGCAGAAAGACCCATGGCTTAAATTTTTTTTACTCTTTTACCCACGTACACTCACCAATTTCAGCCAAAGGTAAAATAGCTGCCAAAAATTTCACCAAGGATAAAAGAGAAAAAAATCAGTCTTTCTGCAGCAATGAAACTACGCAGGTAGTAAGTTCAATACAACAAGACTTCGGGGGTCTGTGTGCAATTAACCTTAGATACGAACTTAAATGCTGATATGTTTTTCGCTCACATGTTATAGATTGTACACAAGAAAACTGCATCAGTGTTGTGCTTAACAACTGTTAAGAATGAGGACAAACTGGAATTCAGCAAAATCTTGGAAGCCATCAAGGTTAGCATGCTAAAACTTGTCTTATAATATGTGGAAATTACGTTATTGTGCGATCTAATTATTGCTTGTCTGTAGGCGAACTTCAATGACAAATTTGACGAGATTCGCAAGAAATGGGGTGGAGGAATTATGGGTTCCAAATCTCAGGCCAAAACTAAGGCCAGGGAGAGGCTTCTTGCGAAGGAAGCTGCTCAAAGGATGACCTAAGTTTTTCTGCTTGACATTTTTGTGTAGATTCCGGGATCTTGCTAGTTGTTATATGCCCCATGAAGACGTTTCTCTGTTAGCATTTTGATGAAATTTCGGCTGAGTTATTACATGTTCCCAAAGTTTTAATTTGATCGATAACAGAATGTTTCATTATGTGCTGTGATTGTCATTGCTACTGTTTGTCTAGTTCTTGTTCTGGTCTTCATTTGCATGTATATGATTTTGGCTTGCTTCTCGCTTGTTTTCTCACAATTTTTTCATGCATGCTGATGGTATTGGGATTTTGATGATGTAAACAGGTCAATTTGTTCTCCCATGCCTGCTTAGAATTGACACAGCGCACTGACTTCATTGGGACATAAGTTGTTTGATGAAAAAGAAGTTGCTTTTGCTTCTATTCTGAAATTGTGAAGAGGGTAAAGAATTAAAAGCAGGTTAATTATTCTAGTAAATTCTCATAGAATTTTATGGCTGTTTTTTCTTTTTGTTGGCTAGCTGTGTTCTTGTAGGATATTATACCACTGCTTAAAAAGAAGGGTTATTTATATTTAACCATTGAAATCATCAATATTTGCAAAACTACACCCAAATTATAGTATTTGCAAGGCTACTCCTTAAATCATTCAAATTGAAAACAACTGCCCCTCAACTTTTCTTCCCTCAAAAGAGTTGGACCTGCAAAAATTATAGTATTTGCTGGTTCCGAGTAATATTTCCCAAGCCGAGGTTAACCCAAGATTTCTAGCCGCGAAATTTGCTGCTACTAATGCTGGTGCAAGCAGCACAGTGTTCGGTGTTGGAGGAACTGCATCCCTTCGGGCGCCGCATTACTTTCTACCCCACTCATGGCCATCTCCACTCCCTCTCCCTTGCTTGCAACGGTGGAGCTGCAGTTTACTTGTTTGGTTAGGAGTCGTTGGGTGTCAAATGACGAACCATCAAATTTTAAGATTTCAGCAATCTTTTAGGGATGTTAGATCCTGATCGGAATGGCTTAGGAATCTGAACAAGTTAAGGCTTAGGATTAAGAGGAAACTGCTCCGATGAGAGTCTCAGAAGAAAACACGGCATCCATAATATATTTGAGCTTCTTCTTCCATTTTAAACAGCAGGTGGATCTTTTTTCTCACGATAGCAACTTACTTCCAGAATCATGATAGGAGACAAATGATAGGAATAGCGAAGGGAAATTACATTGAACATGGAGGATACAAAAATTATGGATGCTGTACTTCTTATATAAATGGAACAAACCTATACCAACCAAATTTCAAAATTGAATAACGACAACTGATCCTGGGAATGCGTCCGAATTTTGATCCTGAAATGAATCAAAATTTGTAAACTGGGAAAATTCTTTACCTGCTTAAATTAACAGAATACTTTTGTTAGTATTGTTTTAGGGGGTGTTTGGTTGCATTGTTTTTGAGAAATGTTTTCTCAAAAGTACTGACACATGACATTTATGTAATTAAGAGTTTTCTATACATTTCTATAAACTGTGTTTGGCTCCAAAAAATTTTACAGAAATGTTTTCTCTAAAGTACAGAAAAGTACCAAATTTTATGGAAATTGATTTCCTTCTAAAATGGGAGGAAATCTCTTGGAAATCTGACGCATTCATTATTTAAATAATAAAACTCATTAACTCTTTTCTACAAAGTTCTCACTTTTCTATAAAGTTGGTGGTGTTTGGTTACATTTCTATAAATTATAGGAAATGTTGCTATTTTCCCAAAAGTTATTTCTCATTTTCTTGTTTTGAACCAAACAAGCACAATACAAAAAATAAGAAAATTTGTACTTTTTAACATCTCAAAACTTTTCCTATAACTTTTTTAAGAAATACAAGGAAATCAAATTTGGGATGGAAAACATTTCCTATAATTTATAGAAATGTAACCAAACACCCCCTTATTTAAAAATTCTGTTGGGCGAGGAAGCAGGTGGCGCGGGCCCGCGTGAGGAGAGGCGATGCCGTGTGGAGTTAAGGGGCTGTTTGGTTCATTTCCATAAAATTATGGAAATATATTCCCTGACAAGAAACCAAATTCAAATTTTTTTTAGGATTTCTAAGGAATCCAAAACTTGTGTTTGATATGAAATGATAAAGTAAAGAATAGGAAAACATATCCAAAACTCATGTTTGTTTCATTTTTAAAAATAAGAAAATCACCATCATAGAAATGCTACCGGGAACATTTAGACTGAAACAAACATTTTAATTCCTTCTAATAAAATTGCAGACATGTGAAATCCTTGGAACATTATTAGTGAAACAATAGAACCTACACAGTTTCATTGTGGATAAATTTGAATTGAATTATTTACGAAATGCAAAGGCTAAATTTCCCTTCTTTATTACTTCTTTCATGTACTGGAAAAGGGGGGGAATCATCAACAAATCTTACTATTTGCAATGTAATAGGGGAAATTCGCGATTTCTATATCTTCTATTTGAAGTCTAAGTGATCAAATTTCAACAAACTTGCTAGGTTCTACGAATTTGTCACTAACCGAAGGACGAAGCTACAGAAACGGATTTACTCATAAGAGAACTTCCATCAAACGTCCAAACGGATCTTTATCAATATTACAAACAAAGAAAGAATCTGTGTCAGGCTGCAACTGGAAACTCCCAGAATCAACAAAAACACTCAAAATTTGCATTAAAAAACAAAATAGAGGGCTAAATTGAAAAATTACCACCAAGAATAAGTACTACGACCGTCAACCTTGAGAGCGAGGAATAAGGTGGAGCAAAAGAGGAAACCGTGTGTAGCCAGCGCCTGTGCCGATTTCGCCACCTGCGACCTAGTCATCGCCTTCCTCCTCTGCATCGATAAAAAATCAGTGAAAGTGGCACGAAACGGAGGAGGAAAAGGTAGAAGAAGATGGAACGTGAAGATGAGGCGGTTATGTTAGATCTAAACCAAACTTGAGATCTAAAACCATATAGCCATGATTAATTCAAGGAGATTAACAAGAATCATAAATGAGCGGAAGCTTATACCTGAATCCATAGAAGAAATCTTGATTTGGGTTTCAATGATGATCTTCTAACCTTAGGGTTCCTCTAAATCCGAATTTCTCTTTCTAGATGGGGGTGAAGAGAATTAGAGAAATGTAACCATAGGTTAGGGACCATAACCCCTTATTTATAGATGTTGTACTTTTGTAATTTAGCCCCTCAATAAATCACAATTACAACCTGGTATCTGCACATATAACCCCATGACTTATTTAAATACCCAATTAACCCAAATTAATTGATCACTTTAGTGGGTTATCCTGAAAGATAGCAATACACATTGATTAATCATATGTGCCCACAAATAGATTTATTAGATTAAATCCAACAATCTCCCACTTGGGCACCATATGATTCCTTAAATTGTGTATAACCTTATGAGCTCAAAATTGCTATCACTGAAAAGGTATTTCCGAACAATCTCGTCCATTGACTATATCAATATAGGATCAAAGCGGTTCTTCGTCACATTTATCGTGACTCGACCCATCAATGGTCACATATACCAATACAATCAAATGACATAGATCAATCATGGATGTGCAGCATGAAAATTATATGCAATGTGATCAGTACATGTCTATTTTCAACTGGTCCTCCTTAGTGAGGTCAAAACCAAACATAATGTAACAGAATGTCTTAACTGAATAATATATTAAAAATTCACACATGTGCAATTTCGCGTAATCCGATCAGTTGTCGCATAATCTGATTAACCATGTTTTTAAAACCTTGCCACTTACATCCTAACATGATATGCATGTTTAAATTCTAAGTTTCTTGTTGTTCTTTTCTGCTAAATCAGAGTGAGCGTCGAAGATATGAGAATGTGTATATGGAGCAGCATTTAGGTTAAATATGGGGTAACTTACAATGAGTTCGTCTGTGTGGATCGTGTTAGATCTAAATCAAAACTTGAGATCTAAAACCATATAGCCATGATTAATTCAAAGAGATTAACAATAATCAAAAGAGCGGAAGCTTATACCTGAATCCATGGATGAAATCTTGATTTGGGTTTTTGATGATCTTCTAACCTTAGGGTTTCTCTAAATCCGAATTTCTCTAGCTAGATGGGGGTGTAGAGAATTAGAGAATGTAACCCTAGGTTAGGGACCATAACCCCTTATTTATAGATGTTGTACTTTTGTAATTTAGCCCCTCAATAAATCACAATTACAACCTGGTATCTGCACATATAACCCCATGATTATATTTAAATACCCATTAACCCAACTTAATTGATCACTTTAGTGGGTTATCCTGAAAGATAGCAATACACATTGATTAATCATATGTGCCCACAAATAGATTTATTAGATTAAATCCAACAATCTCCCACTTGGGCACCATATGATTCCTTAAACTGTGTATAACCTTATGAGCTCAAAAATTGCTATCACTGAAATGGTATTTCCGAACAATCTCGTCCATTGACTATATCAATATAGGATCAAAGCGGCCTTCGTCACATTTATCGTGACTCGACCCATCAATGGTCACATATACCAATACAATCAAACGACATAGATCAATCATGGATGTGCAGCATGAAAATTACATGCAATGTGATCAGTACATGTCTATTTTCAACTGGTCCTCCTTAGTGAGGTCAAAACCAAACATAATGTAACAGAGTGTCTTAACTGAATACTTTATTCTGATCAGACAATACAACCAAACATAAAGCACCACAAATACAAACTCCCACTAAAACATAATATCCTCAAATAATACCACACCCATATGAGCAGTATGCTCATGAAAGACCTTAGGTGGCAATCCCTTAGTAAGAGGATCAGCTATCATGGAGTTTGTCCCAATGTGCTCTATGGATATCTGTCCACTCTGTACCCTTTCTTTCACAACCAGGAACTTAATGTCAATATGTTTTGACTTAGTTGAGCTCCTGTTGTTATTGGAATACATTACTGCAGATTTATTGTCACAATATAGCCTTAGTGGTCTTTCAACATTTTCCAAAATGCGCAGTCCCGTGACAAAATTTCGCAGCCATATTCCCTGATTGGATGCCTCATAGCAAGCTACAAATTCTGCTGCCATAGTGGAGGAAGCTACTAGTGTTTGTTTGACACTTTTCCATGATATAGCTCCTCCTGCTAACATATAAATGTAGCCTGATGTAGACTTCCTG